CACTTAGGACCAGAAGTGTTTTAGATTTCAGATTTCTCCCGATGTCCAAATATTGGCATATACATGATGAGGTATCTTGGGGATGTAACTCAAGTTTAAATAGAAATTTAGTTATATTTCATTATACATAGAGCGAGCACTAAAGTAATTTTATACAATATTCCTAGTGCTCCTGCTTTTGTTTTGTTGGCAGTACTGGCAGACTGAATTCAGGGATTTATGCATGTTAGGCAAGTGCTCGATCACTGCCCTTTTTTATTTTGAGATAAGGTCTCACTTAAATTGTCCAGGCTGACCTAGAATATGTGATCCTCCTGCTTCAGCTTCCCACACAAGTTGGGTTACAGTCATGTCCAACTGGACCTGGCTGGCACCTGTGTTTTGAGATAAGGTCAGGTGAGCTTTCCACTATCTGTGGCATCATTTCAGTCCTAAAAATGTTTTAGATTTTGGAGCATTTTATATTTTAGATTTCTCAAACTAGGAATGGCAAGCCTGTATGTTCAATTTGGACTGTGCTCACTCTGAGCAGCTTGTAGTGCCTGCTATAGTCACAGTTCCTTCTGAAACAGTTTCTTTAAGCTGACTCCTAGATTTTCCATCACAGGGATCCTGATATTGACTAGGATGAAGGTCTGACACTAAAGCAATCGCCTGAAGCAGTGCTGGCAAACCTTTTAAGAGACCAAATGCCAAACAGCTACCCAAAAACCACTTATCACAAAGTGCCAACACTGCAATTAAACCTGACTACTAAGATTTTATTTTAGGAAAAAACTCATATTTTAACATCTTTTGTCTTAACAGAAAAACACAATAACATCTGTGCCACAGGTTCACCGCCACTACCCTAAAGGTTCAGCAGCAGTCTCAGAGACAGCTCAAACTCCTACAACAGGAGGGAATTTGTTGGCAATGTCAGGAACATGATCTGTAGCTAAAAGAAAATAATGGAGTCACTGGGACACCCCAGGCATTACAGCAACAACCTTTTGCTGAAGACACCAGAACTCTACCGAACCCTGAAAACCACCAACTCCAAGTGACAGCCTCACCTCGTGATAAGTGAGAACATAGCAATTACGTTCCTTTCCTCTCCATTTGGGAGGAGGTTTGTTTGGGAAGTTTGGTAGGGGGAAGCCATATACATTTCATTATGTAAGGTTATATGCCAGACTCCTTATAACCTGAAAATCTAACTGCAATATTTAGTAGTACCATCTTTACATATATCCTTAAAAAAAAAAAAAGACTCAAATGAAGAACTGGTGACTGACGGCATAAAGCTGTAGAATGTACACCCTCTTTCTCTGCACACATCCGTAAGAGATCATCCATTGTACTGTGTAAACGGGTATCACTAGAGCATACAAGATTCCTGATGACTGAAAAGGTTACAAGGACAAATGGAAATACTGTTTTATATTTTGTTTCATCCATGGAAAATGAATTCTTTTCTTTATTCTCATCAAGTTTCCCCAGTCTTGAAAAAAGTCAAGAAAAGTTGCTAAACACCCTTTCAGAAATCTCACTCTCAACATTACACAAGCTTGAACAGAATTCTAGAATGTCCTGTAAACAAAGCTCTACAATTCAAAAACTATATAGACAAAAACTGTAAAAACCTCAGTCACTGATAAAACAAAATGTTTACTATAAAAATAAAATTATATAAATAAAATCTCACTGGAAATCAATACTGAGTGACTAAAAGAAATTAAGCACAGAAATAACAACAGTCAAATAGAGTTAGGCACAAGCACCTGTTGTTTCAACTACTAGGGAGGCTGAGCTGGAGATGTGCAGCCCAGGAGTTCCAGGCCAGCCTGGGCAACAGAGTAAGACCCCATCTCAAAAAAATAAAGGTGGGGGTGTCAAATATTTTATGTTCTTTCTAAAAACTGGAAACTGGCTCCATGCCTTCCTTACCTTAATAACCAATAAACAGATACTCATTTCTCACCCAGTTTCACCTGACCAGAAATATGCTTGGCTTACATAGCCAAGCAGGAAGTAGATGACAATCAGATATTACCACTTAACAATGTGGAAAAACTAAGATCAGCTGTGACCTCCGAGGGGTTAAACTAAGGATCTTCACAGGAGTATGAATTAAAAAAAAAAGTATGACCAAATATAACTCATTTACACAAAGAATACTAATCATAAAATAAGACTTTCTCCTCCCAGACTCTCCACCCAACCTGAACTTCTGTACCTTTTACAAATATTCATATTCCTGATAAACTATCCAGTAAAAAACATTCATATTCACAAAGCTGTTGAAACCACCCTTTCCCCATCCCTGATGTCTCTGTGGGGGAACCACAGTAAAAAAGCCAACCAGTTCTGGCGAAAGGGGGTCCTGTGCAAAACCTCAGGATTGCTCAGTACAATCTGGAAGGCACTCAAGCTAAGGAGCCTGTAAAGCAACAAAACACACATATAATATGAGAAAATAAACGTGTTTTAAAACTAAACTGTGCCTACTTTCCTTTCAAAATAAGCTCAGATTAGCTGAAGAAAAAAAGGAGACTCACTGTTATTTTTTCTACACTACAATTCAGTCATTTCACAATAGGCTCTAATGTCTACAGTTTAAACTTTACACCACGCAAGAAAATCTTCTATGAATCAATAAATCACTTTTGCTGGGGATTTAGCTCAGTGGTTCCGCTGCCTGAGTCACAAATGCAAAGACCCAAGTTCGATCCCTGGTACCTATATAAATAAATAAATCACTTTTTACTAAAAATACACACACAAGAATAAATCTCACCATCCCAATAGCTCTTTTCCACTTTGAAAGAGCCTAGAAAGTAAAAAATGGAAACAGAATATCAACATACTTTTCACCTAAATTTGTATAATCCTTAGCCAAACAAATTAATTGAAAAAAATTTTAAAAAAGACAATTAGGATAATTAGAAAACTGACTGGATAATGAATAGTAAGAAATTACTATTCTTTAGGCTTGAGAATAGCACTGATTGTATTTTATGCTTCTGTGGTGTTTTTCCCCAACTGTTCATCCTTCATATTCGCCTGATGGATTCATTTATGGATAAGAGGCCAGAGATCTGCTTTCGAATATTCAACAGGTGGATGAAACAGGGTTGGTCAAGTGCTACTAATACATGAAGACAGGTAACTGATACATGAGGCTTTATTATACTGAGCTCGTTTCTCCATTTTTTGCATATGCCTTAAAGTTGTTTTCAGGGAAGAAAAATGTATCCTATGCATCAAAATGTCCTGTTCAAAAGTAGAGAAATTTTTGTTTCACTAAAGCATTGAAAATTCTGCTTATTGATCTGGTCTGATTAGTAATTTCTATTCTCCAAAAGAATTAATGTCCTCCAATAGACCAAAAATGTAAATTCAAGAATCTTTGTCTTTAACTCCATTCATCGGGTAGTGCTAGGTAAAGAAACAATCTAGAATTCCAATTTATAATTAATCACATTATTTAACTTCAAGACCATTTACATTTTGGGTTAAGAAGACGAACAAGACAGGATTTGTTTTATTTTAAATTTACCTCACTCCTCCCCTGGTATTAAACTAAGTTTGACGGATAGTATACAAAGGTGGAAATGAAACAGATGGTTGTTCACTCCCAGGAAATAAATTCTTTCCTTGAAGAGGCTAGAATTCAATCGAACTTGACACACAGAAATATTCCAAAAATTTAAACGGGGTAACCCACATACTCCCCGACAGTAGCCCCATAAGCCTTTCAAGTGGTTAGAAACCTGGTTGGTTTGTTTCACCTCCTCCTCCTCCTCCTCCTCTTCCTTTCTCAAGGGAGGTGCTAGAGAGCAAAGAAATGACCAAAAGACAGGCCGGAAGGAAGAGAGCGAAAAGAATGGAGTCCGAACAATCAGCACTTAAATATCTTAAATATCTGAGAAGTGTGTCCAAACTGGACTAAGTGAAGAGGGAGTGAGCTGCTACACACCTCCCAGTAACTTCAACGTTCCTAAGCAGTCTAGAGAGAGGAACTCCCTGCTCTCCCCCAAGTATTCAGGTACAAAGGCATGAAAGAACTCTTCCCGACCCTCGCTCAGCTAGAACGCAAGAGCCCCAACTCCCACCCGCCCGGGCCCGGGCAGCCTCCCTCACCAGTCCTCGAGCGGGTCCTCGGGCCAGGACCCTCTCTCCAC